AAAAAAAAAACCTGCAAAGATACCTTAAAAGCTTAGCTCCTCTTCTTCTAGGCAGCAAGCTCTTGTTTTTAGGCTCTTGAGAACTACAACTGCATTTTTATAAACCACTTTTCACATAAGAGCATTTTCATTTGCAATCACTTGATATGATCTTTTCAAAATTGATACCCCTTACCTAGATAATTGGATGCCTCCAAAAGGACAACAGGAATACCAGCCTTAGACAAAGAAGCTGCTGCAGAAAGCCCAGCCAGCCCTCCACCAACAACCACAACCTGATTTGCAGGAGAAGGTCCTACTCTTCCTAAAGAAGATCAGAAAAAGGTTATTAAGTTCTATGTTCACAAAGACCCATTTTTGTCTGAAGCTTAACCAGGTTTCCACTGAAACTGAAATTAAAAAAGTAAACGTATAGCTTGAGATGGCACAGCCCCTTTTCACCTGGCCACTCTACACCAGAAGGGCAAAAATGATTTTTAGCTCTAACAATAGATATTGAAATTATTTATTATTGACAAGAGCACTGCATACATACCATTCCAAGGAAATGAGGGTTGGACAATATTTGAATCCAGGCTTGAACTTTCTTCAAAATTATTCATTAAGGCTTTTACTTGCCTCATAGTTTGTTTTCCATAATCGGATGAATTCAAAATAGTGACAATATCTTCACAAAAGTTTAGTAGTACAGATGTTGCAATGTAGCCCCATTTGATACCATTTTCAACCTGGTAGTTAGGAACTAAATTTGGCCTGTAAACAATCAAACAAGTCCACTGACTTCCAACATCAGAAGAAATAAGATCAGCCTCTATCCATCGAAATCCTACTATGTAGAGAGACTTGCAAAGACCTGATTCTGCGCACTTATTGGTAGGTTTAGAATTATGCTTCTTTTTAATCACACTGAAGATTTCCTTGCAGTTATCAAAACCACACCGTTGAGCATACTGCAAAAAAAGCAATAATAAATGCTGTAACATTAAACCTTCACACCCAAACATCAGTATACATATTCTCCATTCTGTTCTCTATACATTTCCTTAAGTGCTGACAAGGAGAATTTGTTTAACAATCAAGAGCTTCTTTAGTTGGTGATCATTTCCTTTATTCTTGTGACCTTAATGTTTGATTCAAGGGTGATATTGTGGGGAGAAATTAGAATCCAATCACTCTTAGGGGTTAAAGGTTAAAGTAAGTCTAATACTTGTGGTAGTCTCCTGAGAAAATCAAGAGAAGTATGGTTTATGATGCACTCTCAACATAACTTAAGGTGCACAACTGGGTAGAGAAAT